TCAAGACAGGGTTTCTCTGTGTAGCCTTGGCTATCCTAGAACTCACTCTGTAGACCAGGCTGGCATAAAACTCACAGAGATCTGCCTGACTCTCTGCCTCCTGAGTGCTGGGATTAAAGGTGTGTGCTACCATGTCAAGCTTTCCATCTTACTTTCTAAGGCAGGATCTCTCACTGAGCCTGGAGCGCACTGATTGACTGGGCTGGCTGGTCAGTGGCCTCCATCCATCTACCTGTCTCCACCTTCCCAGCTCTGGGGTTACAGACACGGACTTGTTTGCATATGGCTTCCGGGGACCCAAACTCATGTTCTTATGCTTGCAGTGGACACTTCACTACTATGTTTCCAGCCTGTTATCAGGTTTTAAATTTAAGACTTTATCAGGACCAGCCTTAAATGGTGCTCTCCCTGGCCCCACTGACAATCTTAGACAAAGCCTTGCTCACTTTCTGTAGTTTGTGTTAGAACATGGGTTTGTCTTTTTAAAGATGCTGCCAGATACCACACAGGCTCATTCAAACCTTATATATGTATGTGCAAGACATTAAAATATATTCTTTTTATAGCTCCATAAGTTCATGATTCTAAAAATAAAAGCACAGACGACAGGAAGACTTAGTGCCCAACTTCTTGTGTTGAAAACTGACAAAGATGAAGAAGCAAGCATTTCTTTTCTTTTCTTTCTCTTTCTTTCTTTCTTTTCTTTCTTTCTTTCTTTCTTTCTTTTCTTTCTTTCTTTTCTTTCTTTCTCTCTCTCTCTCTCTCTCTCTCTCTCTCTCTCTCTCTCTCTCTTTCTTTCTTTTCTGTTCTTTTTTTCTGTTCTTGGTTTTTCAATACAGGGTTTCTCTGTGTAGCCCTGGCTGTCTTGGAACTCACTTTGCAGATCAGGCTGGCCTCAAACTCACAGAGATCTGCCTGCCTCTGCCCCCAAGTGCTGGGATTAAATGTGTGCACCATCACCCATGTGTGCACCCAGCTTATTTTTTCTATATAACTGGACTACTGGGGAATTGAAATGCATAAAAGGGCTTTGCCGGTAGGAAAAACTGGAAGACTATGAAGATTGGGGCTACACTCAGTGGTGGATAATTGCCTAATGTGAGAGGCCCTGGGTTTCATCTCTAACCTCCTATGCCTGCACACATGCACAGTGAGAACATCAATGGATCTAAACATGGTTAGCTAGGCATGGGAGCAAGAGAGGAGGCGTTCTAGGTCAGCTTCAGCCACCAGTGTATGAAGCCTTGTCATACACACACACACACACACACACACACACACACACACACACACACACACACCCCAAACCTATAAAAAGAATTTTTCAAGATTTTTATTTATTTGTGTGTGTGTGTCTGTGTGTGAGCGCGCATGGGTGTGCACATGCACAACGTGTGGAGGTTAGAGGACAACTTCCAGGAATTAGTTCTCTCCTCTTACTGTGTGGGTTCCTGGAATCAAACTCAGATTGTCTGGCTTGGCTGTAAGCATTTTTCCCACTGAGCCATTTGCCAGGTCCACACAAAGAATTTAGACACTATGTATCATGTTTGGTAAAATTATAAAAAGAAAGGAAGTCAGTTGTCTGTCTTATAATAGGAACAAAATCCTGAGTCTTACAAATCTGATAAGTTTTTATGTACAGCCACCAAGTCGTGAGAAGTACAAAGAACTACAGGATTCATTAAACCAACAGAGTACAGAAATAAAAATTATGTGGTATTTATGAGATAATTAGAAATTTGAATGTTGACTGATATATTTTAAAAGATACTGTTGCTATTAGATAAAATAATGCCCATATTGTGTTTTACAGAAGTATACTAAAATATTTACAGATTAAATGATTGCTACAATTCGCTTCAAAATATGTAGTGAGTGTAGCACAGTATATATGGAATGGGATAGCCTTCATTGGATAATTACTGACTGAGTGTCAAGCATGTGAAGTCTGTTACATCCTTTTGTCAAGTTTGACTGATTGTGTTTGGCATTTCCCATGGAACATACATCTTTTTCTTTTAAATTATTAAAGCTTCCTGAATATTCTGATGCTCTTCTAAGGAATATTCTTGTCCTTCTCTCATACCTCAATAGTTACCCTAGAGTCTTTTGTAAACTTCAAATAGTCCAGGAACAGTAAGTTATAAATCCATTATCATCTTTTTGTAAAGTAATCTAGAAGATTATTTCCTGAATGACCATTAATTCCTAAAAGACTGCATGACTTTGAATACGTAAAAGGAATATCCTAGGGAAGAGAAAATGAGTTCTGAGAGTAGGAGGAAAGAAAAAGGAAAAAACATCTGTCTTTGCTAAAACATCCCAGGGAAGTACGTGTGTGTTTTGTGTGTGTGTCTGTGTTTTGTGTGTGTGTGTGTGTGTACACACACTTGAACACACAAATAGGAAACTTCTACAAGAAGCATAGAGACAATGACTAAGTTCTTAGCTATCAGGTTATACTCACATACGATCCCTTGTTGAAGGTGAATATAAATATTTTGGGGAGAAAGGGGCTCCAATATTCAGCAAGCCAATGCTGAGACTGCTTCACTGCAGATAGGTAGAATTTTTGCCTAAACCTGGGAACAGTCTAAACTTGTATGCCGGAAACCAGGTAAGAGTGAGAGTCACCTCAAGTGCTGGAGCGTCCAGCTTCTCATGGGAGATTCCTGGAAGAACAAGAAACTGCATGTCTGGGCATGGGGGTGGGATTGGGGCACCTGGAATGCAGTGAAAGGGGAAAAAGTATGCTCTTTATTGGACAGAGCCAGGTTACAATGTGACCAGAGCCATAAAACCTGTGAGGACACTTTGCAAACAGCCTTTTGTTTATCTAAGTGACTATACCTTTTATCTTTCAACTAGACACAAAACAGATGTCTATTAATGGGTCCCTTGGCCAGGCCAGCTGCTGGCCACCACCCTTTCTGTTTGCATGGCTTTTGACACCCTCTTGCCCTGTCCTTTCTTCCCCACATCACCTCTCCATTGAATTATGATTAGTAGGTGACCTTGGAACAAATGATGTGGAGCTGAGTAAAGCCTGACTACGCCTCCACAGAAACAGGCTTCGGAGTCTCCTGTCATGCCTTGAGTCTGGGGTCAGTGCTGATCTTAGTTCTTTGTTTCCGTTGAACTTCAGTTAGTCTTGAAGGAAAGTATTCTTGTGTGGTCTCACACAGCCTCATCTATTGCTGTGTGTCCTTGGAATACAGGCCTCGGCTCTGTTTCTCCACCTTTCCATTTTTATTCAGGTTTATTTTTTGAGAAGTAAGGTGTGGTTGATATATTGTGCACCCCAATAAAACTTATCTGGAGATCAGAGAACAGAACAGCCACTAGATTAGACATAGAGGGCAGACAGTGGTGACACACACCTTTAATCCTATCACTCGGGAGGCAGAGATCTGTCTGGATTTCTGTGAGTTCAAGGCCACACTGGGAACAGAGCCAGGTGTGGTGGCACACACCTTTAATCCCAGCACTTGAGATCTCATGTCTTTGCTTGGGAAGGACACACGCTTTTAATACCAGAAAGTGATGGCAGGAAGCAGAAAGGTATATAAGGCATGAGGACTAGGAACTAGAAGCTTTTAGAGTTCAACGGAGACCCTGAGGGGTGAGGACTCAGAGGCTTTCAGTCTGGGAATTTGTGGAAACAGGATCGGCTGAGGAGTTGTTGAGGTGAGGTTGGCTGTGGCTTGTTCTGTTTCTCTGATCTTTCAGCGTTCACCCCAATATCTGGCCCTGAGTTTTTTATTAATAAGACTGTAGCAATTCGTCTTACAGTAAAATCTTACTATGGGTGACCTCAAATTCACAGAGATCTGCCAGCCTTTGCCTCCCAATGGCTGGGATTAAAGGTGTGTACCACCATGCCAGGTTAATTTTATTTTTTAAATAAAGGTCTCCAACTGTCCATTCTCTTGCCTCAGCCTCCTTGGGGCTGAGATTACAGGCTTGAGTCATCATGCCCAGCTTGTTTATTTGGTGTGTGGGTTTGTTTTATTTTATTCAGTGTTGAGGATCAAACCCCAGGATTTGCGAAGTACCTTGGCTAAGCACCCTATCACTGAGCTACACCCCTTGCTCTCACTAAAACACATGAACTTTAAAAGTACACTTTGACTCATTTTGGTGGTAGTGCAAAACGATAAAGATGCTAGTTTATCTAATGTGTTCCTGCTTTTGTTAAAGAAAGAATGTTAGGAAAGATGGTTTTTTCAGAGGCTCTCCTCAATACTCCCAAAAGAGCAGTGGCATGGGAAGGGAACCTCAACCCGTGGGTCGAAGAGCCTAATGTATAACAGCCGAAGTCCAGATTTCCTTTTTTGTTTGTTTGTTTGTTTTTCAGGGCAAGTTTCTCTGTGTAACAGCCCTGGCTGTCCTGGAACTTGCTCTGTAGACCAGGCTGGCCTCAAACTCTCAGGATCCGCCTGGCTCTGCCTCCCAAATGCTGGGATTAAAGGCGTGGGCCACCACCACCACCTTTCTCCCCTTTCTTACGAAGCATCAGTTTCCAAATCTGCCTCATCAGACTGACTGACAAGACCGACCCCTTTGGATAGTGTGCCATTAAAGTGGGATGAGTAGGCACCCTTAAATGTCCGTCGTTATTTTCTGCGTAGCATTCAACCATTTCTGCGAGCACACATCGACACAGGCTGACTCCCACATCCCGACGCGAAGCGTCCGCGGTTGAGGATTTAGTCCCCTGGTACGGTGCTTGAAAACCAGCGCGACGTTCTGGGTTCAGTTCTTAGCTCCTGGGGGGATAAGGCCACCGACTTCGGCCCTCAAACAACAAAAACAAAAAACAAGGTAAAAAAATAACCACAGAGCAGGCTACGCCACTCCTACCAGGGAACCCAGGCAGCCTAAGCACTCCCAAGCTCTGGAGGGAGCTTCCGGCAGGGGGCAGCATCGCCACCCGGAGGGTGTAACGCCTGTCGTACTCACAGGACGTAAAGCACTTCTGCTTTACGGCACCCGCCTCCGCCGTAAAGCCGGCGCGCCCACGTGCGGCGACTTCCCACTGGGAACCTTGGTGTTTTTACGGTGGCCAGCTTGACGTTTCTGCTATGGGCAAACGCCGGAGTCGCGGCCGGAGCCAGCTGCTCAGCACAATGACCAAGAAGCAGAAGAAGCACCTCCGCGACTTCGGCGAGGAGCACCCCTTCTACGACAGGTCGGGGCGCGCGGGCCGCTGGGAGGGCCGGTTCCGGAAGGCGCGGGGTCGGGGCGGGCCGGGGCACCCCAGCTGCGGCGGTGCGCTCTGCCGATAGACCCGCGGAGACAGCCGGGTGTGCTGTCCCGGCACGCGGGGGCTGAGGCAGGAGATCTCAAGTTATCCAAAAGCAAGACAGAAAGAAAGGTGAGACATCGAGTTGGCCAGCGAGAGGTGAACCCCGACCTGTGGTTTAAAAACCAGTTTCTAACTTCTTCGTCATGTGATGTCGTTGAACTCTTGCCTGTTGCCCATTCGTCTTCTGGTCGTCCCTGCCCTTGTGCATGCAGGATTTTTTATTTATTTATTTTTTTGCAATGACTGGTTTTTATCGTGTTTTCTGCATTTTTCATTTAAAGCGGAATCATTAGACCTTTCGTGATCCTGACAAATAAGCAGCTAAAGTTTAACATTGTCCCATTTCTTTTTAGGGTTTCCAAAAAGGAAGCAAAGCCACAGATTTGTCAGCTGGTAATGCTCTTTACTTTATAGTAGTTGAAATTGGGTTATTACCTTTAAGATTGTGTGTAAAAGTAAAGCTTGGGTACATGTGCTTTTCTGTTTTGAATGTAAGCTGTCATTTTGGTAATATTTCTTAATTAGTTTTAAATGATGGAGATAATAAAAATGAATTGGAAACTGCCCCATGACACTGTTATGAACCTCAATTGAAGAAGTTCATCATTGTGCTGGGTTTTGGTGTGTCTATTCTATGAAAGTATGAATAGTGAATCTATGAAAGTATTCACACATAGTGTGAAGTAGATGAGGGGCCAGCAGACTCAGACAATGGCACTCATTTCTAATTTTCCTCTTGCACCTTGAAACATGAAGCTTAATGTCTGAGATGTAAGTTAAAGCCCATAGTCTAAAATTCTGTTTGAAAAGCCAGTTTTTATTCCATGTGCAGCTCATAGGAACTGTAGCTTGGTCAACTGTTTCATGTAAATTTCATACTGGGCTTGGTTAAAGAGATGAGATTGTGTAATAGTTGCAGAAAAGTTCATTGGGTTTTTGTTTCCTTTTTAACCAGTATATATTCATTATACAAAATAGTGGGTTTCATTAGGACATTTGCAGGCATAATTACTTGATTGTATTCATACTACCCATTCATTGCCCTCTTCTGGCCCCTAGTCTTCTACCTCTGCTGGTCCCTTTTCTCTTCGCAAACACTTTTCCTTTTAATTTCATGCCTTCTAACTTCTTTTAAATCTAGTTTTCTCATGCAAGAGAAAACATTTGCCTTTAGTCTGTCTTATTTTTACTTATCTCCCATTCTGTCCCATTTCCTTGCACGTGATATAATTTCCTTCTTTAAGGCTAAGGAAATTTCATTAATATGTATGTCTCACATTATATTCTTTTAGTGTGACGATAAAAACATAATTTTGTTTTTAAAAAACTCCCATTTTTTCTCTAGTCAGAGAGTTCAGATACTTCACATTCTGAAAGTGAATCTGAGGAAGAACAAGAGCACATTTCAGGGTACCACAAACTGCTTGCTACATTAAAGAATGTTTCTGAAGAGGAAGACGAGGAGGAGGAAGAAGAGGAGGATGACAGTGCTGTAGCTGATGAAGAAATGAATTATGAAGATGGTGATGAAGATGTCCATGTGGAAGAAGAAACAGTGGAGTTGGCTGAGACACATGAGCGTGAGTGTTTTGGGGTTGGCCTGTCCTCTTTGCCAGGACAGAGTGTCCTATGCTCTGTGGGCTGAATGAGAGCATTTGGCTCCAAAGCAGAGATTCAGCCTTGTTGAATTTGGTTATATTTTGAGAATCTGATGGGAACACAGACCCTCTCATCAGTAGAATACTGTTGGCTTACTCTTTGGGGGGTTTCTTCTGACCTAATGTAAGACTGCCTGCTTACCAGAGGAACATAATTTTGTCACTATGACAGCTCAGTTCATGGAAGAGGTTGTTGTTCCTCTTCAGTAAGAGACCAAGTGTGATGGAAGGTAGACATAAGAATACACAGTAATTCTTAAGTTGTAGATTTGTGTTTACATGAAGCAGCTAGAGATAAGATGGCAAGGAGATTTGTTCTATGTTATTTCTTATCATAATTCAGGCTGCTCTGAACGTCTTGAATGTGTATCTTGGTGCACTATTTTAGAGTACGTTCTAGAACTGGGTGTATTAGACTTCTTCAGAGTAACTCCTAATTGTGATAGAATTCTATTTAAAGGAATTGGCTCATGTAACTGTGAAGATTTGGCAAGCCCCAAGAGAAGCCCCTGTTACAGCTGGAGTTCAAAGGCAGTCTGCTGGAAGTCTTCCTCTTAGGGCAGACCAGCCTCCTCTTTTTACCCAAGCCTTCTACGAATGGGAGGAGGCGCAGCACAGTGTGAAAGGCCAGGACAGAGCCCAGTTGGAAATGTCTGCTTAGTATACACAGAGCCTTGGTTTCCATCTCCAGTACTACATATGTTAGGCAAAGACGGAGCATGGCTTTAATCTTAACACTCAGGAGATAGAGACAGGAGGATCAGAAGTTCAAGGTCATCCTGAGCTAATAGTGGGCAGCAACAAGGCTAAATTACAAAAGACCCTGTCTTAAAAAATAGTCATTTGCCTTCCTGATGGAAGTCCACCAATTGGAACATAAATTTAATCTAGTAATATCCCTAGTAATGTCCAAGCACACCTCCAGGCTAGAGACCCAGCTTAATTCTGAAAGGTCACTTCCACTGAATTACCTTATTATTGTTTAAAAATAATGCCTGGTGAGGTTGTGCATGCTTTTAATTTTGTTTTGTTTTGTTTTGTTTTTTGAGACAGGGTTTCTCTGTAACAGTCTTGGCTGTCCTGGAACTTGCTGTGTAGACCAGGCTGGCCTTGAACTCACATAGATCCTCCTGCTTCTGCATCCCAAGTGCTGGGATTGAAGGCGTGAGCTACCACTGCCCAGCCCACGCCTTTAATTTTAAATTCCAGCACTTGGGAGTCAGAGGCAGGTGGATCTCTGAGTTGGAGAGTAGCCTGTCTACAAAGTGAGTTTCAGGACAGCCCTGCCCAGAAAACCAAGAATAAATAAATAATAGCAATGAGCATCAGTGTTTTAATTTGATATTGTCAACATTTAAGTCCGAGTAAATCATTTTGTTTATTTATTTTTGAGACAGGGTTTGACTCTGTAGGTCTAGCTGTCTGGAAATTGCTGTTGACCAGGCTGGCCTGGAACCCACAGAGCTCTACCACACCCTGAAAATTTTACAAAATGGTTTTCAACATTTCAGGTGTGTCTCCAGTTGATGACCCAAAAGAAAAAGATGGAGAGGAGCCGCCTGATGGATCACAGAAGTCCCCAGAGGAGTTCACAGATGCGAAACATGAGTCGCTGTTCAGCCTGGAAACCAATTTTCTAGAAGAGGATGGTGGAGGCAGTTCTTCCCAGAAAGCACCCCAAGGTGAGAGTATCTCCTGTCACCCCAGCTCTCCAGTGTGCTGAGGCTGTGCGCTGACTCAGGTTTAGTCTCCAGTGTGCTGGGGCTGTGCGCTGACTCAGGTTTAGTCTCCAGTGTGCTGGGGCTGTGCGCTGACTCAGGTTTAGGCCCCTCCAGTGTGCTGGGGCTGTGTGCTGACTCAGGTTTAGTCTCCAGTGTGCTGGGGCTGTGCGCTGACTCAGGTTTAGGCCCCTCCAGTGTGCTGGGGCTGTGTGCTGACTCAGGTTTAGTCTCCTCCAGTGTGCTGGGGTTGTGTGCTGACTCAGGTTTAGTCTCCTCCAGTGTGCTGGGGCTGTGCGCTGACTCAGGTTTAGGCCCCTCCAGTGTGCTAGGGCTGTGTGCTGAATCAGGTTTAGTCTCCTCCAGTGTGCTGGGGCTGTGTGCTGACTCAGGTTTAGTCTCCTCCAGTGTGCTGAGGCTGTGCGCTGACTCATGTTTGGTCTCCTGACTGAGGGAATTCAGCAGAACCAGCTAAGTAGGAGCCATGTGGGGAGCTGGAGTAGACACCTCTTGGGTATTTGTGCTTTTCAGTACTTAGTAGAGATGAGGACTGGTTAGAGAAGAAGGGTCTGAAGGGTGGAAATCGGGGAGGTCAGTCCCCAGGCTTCAGGTTTCTAGAGTTGGAGTCTGAGGAAGACTCTGCCTTCCTAATGGGCAGAAGAGAAGGGATAAAGACTCTTTTCTTTCTCCCCCTCACCCACTCTTCACTGGAGCAGTACTTTTTCAGATTTGTGAGGCCCAGCAAGGCCAGTCTGAGTTCTTATTACTAGGGGAGCTCCCCAAAGCCACCCCTCAACTCCCTCCATGGCCACCATCCTGTGACCAAACGGCAGCCAGCTGGACGTGGGTTTCCACACTGTCAATCTGCTCGTGGGTTGGTAGGCCAAGCTGTTGTCTTTCTGTGTCTGCCTTTCCTAGTTTTCTGCCATTGGGCTTCTTTGTGGAGGAAGCTGAGTCCTTGTTTGGCCTAGTTGGATCTGCTGACTTTTATGCAAGAGGAGGAGTAGAGGTAGAATTTGTGGGATCTTAGACAGCTCTAAGCCTGGACAGAGTGGGAAGCCGCTGTCCTGAAGCCTCTACATATTTGCTGTGCAGATGGACTGCCGGGGCTTCCCTGTTCACGTTGCTCACTGTTGTCCTGGGTATCTACTGTAGCTGCATGTCATTTGGCGTGTTTCCGTTTGGATCCTTGAGCAAGTTACTTACTTCACTTTGCTGCTTCTCAATGAGAGGGCGTGGAGAGAGGGCTGAGGGTCACCTGAGTGCAGTGAGCACAGAGCTGGGGGTAACCTGCATGCAAGGGATGACATTTGGATCATTTGGTAGTTCAGGTGAATACTGAGAATTAGTGTGTCTTGCTGTGCAGAATGCATGGAGCCTTGCGTGCTCTCGGGAATCTTGCCATGTACCAGGTAAAACAGGAACATGAACTGGCTTGTTTGAATTGATGAGGCATGGTAGGGGCTAAGAGTGTGACTGTCAGGGGTATCCAGCTCTGACCTCTGCCTGGAGCCAGTGCTATACCTGGCACAGTAGACTCCTATGAGGCACTTTTCTGAGAAGGAATAACATACAGGTGGGAGAGGTAAGATTTTTGGTGCAAAGGAAAGGCTCAGATGCAGAATTCAGGGCTGTGTAGTTCAGAAGTCACGAAGAGGTGGGTTCACGTGCAGTGGTCAAGGCCTGACCCTCAGGCTGAGGTGTCTTCCGAGGCTTTGGGCTGGGATGTTGTGGTCAGTGTGTACTTTTGGGGGACCAGCTTGCCAGGCACTCTGTTAAGCTTTGAGTGGTGCTGGAGGATGGGGACGGGGTTGGAAAGAAGGGTGAGCTGACACCAGGAAGATGAGCGTGTCAGTCTCAGCAGAGACTAGAGATGAGCATGTCGTTTCCAGAGCACTCTCAGGAGGCTAGAAAGCCCTGCCATTTGCTCACTGCTTATTACTCTATTCTGAATTAGATCCATTTCAACAACATGTCAACAGAGAATTGAAAGAAAAGGAAATTCAAGCTGCTGCTTCAAGCTCTCCAACTACCCAGCAGCTGAAAGTAAGTGCTGTGTGCTATTTGGTTTTCCAGGCATGGAGGAAAGCCCCACAGAAGCTGTGATCTTTGGTTTATTGGCGTATATTATCCATGGGGAGATGCATTTGTCAGACATTGAGCTTGTGGCAGCCCGCTTGCCTCAGCTTCCCAAGTGCTGGGGTTGTGGGTGTTATATCACACATGATCTAGTTGACTTTCCCCCCTTTTTTGATTTTGCAGATACATGTGCAGGTGTAAGAAGTCAGTCAGAGACTGACTTTTTTGCCCGATTTTTCCCATGATAGCAGGTAGCAGAGTACAGTACAGTATCACTCAGAAAGTAGACCTAGACGCCCTTGATGCTGCTTGGAGCTCATGCACGCAGGCTCAGTACTGTCTACTGTGGCCTTGCATCCCTGGACTCAGGTTCTCTGTGGTGTTGTCTTGTAGAATCTCATTTCTACTAACTCAGTAGGGTGTGCAACACTGTGGCACTGTATGTCTCATGGACAGGGTCTCATGGTGCAGTCCTGGCAGGCCTGGAACTTGCTATGTAGACCAGGCTGGCCTCAGAATCAGAAGACATCTGTCTACCTCTGCCTCCCCAGTATTAGGATTAGAGGTGTGTGCCACCACACCTGGCTCTGCTGCTCCTTTTTACCATGTCCACTTCCTTTCACATGCCTCATTCCTGAGCCCTCACCTCCTGAGCGCCTGTCTGTGTCTGGGTGCTTGTCATTGGTCTACTGGAGTCACCCAGGGTGGGACCTGTGAGGTCACCTGCTTCATTCAGCACAGTTTCCTGGAGAGTCACCCAGGTTGCTCAGCTATCTGTGGCTTGTTTCTTTTATTCCTGAAGTTGCTGTAATTTTAGGTCAGCAATTTTTCAGCAGTGAAAAATTTCTAAACATACCTCACAAAGTAGCATCCCTTGAAGTTCTACTAGGTATGTCTTTAAAAAAGAAAAGAAAAAAAGGAAGCAGTGGAGATTAAGGAAGGGAGGGATGAATCAGTTCCAAGAGAAGGCAGAGCCTTTAGTGTCACACCTTGTGACATATCACATTGTGAAGGTTATTTTACCATTTTTGTCTAAAGGAATTTTGATTCTTCCCAGACGTGTCCCTTATGGTAGTTGCCAAGATCCAGCCTTGACTAGGGTTTAGGTCCTGAGATGGGGCATTGGTGCAAGGAAGACTTCTGACCACCAAGTGGATTACACTCAAATGGCCCTGAATAGCTCAGGCTGTCTTTATTTATACTTCAAGAGTTTTTCTTACCAGGATTACATGAACAGCTTTATTTTTGGCTTCTGTTGTTGACTTTAAGAAATACATCACAATTTAAGGAATACATCATGACCATTACGAAAGCCCCCATTGTTCCCCTCTGTGCTTCCCCAAATACCCTTCCCTCTCCCTGCATAACCTTATTGTAGACATAGAGTTCATTAACAGATATGGGCACAATGCTTTAAGGACAACAATATTCAAACCCAGACAGTTCTTTCATGTCTGCAAGATATATTTTTATACAGGTCCCTTTTCTACAAGAAGGTCCTGTGTCTCAATCTCTCTATAAAAGGCAGGTTTTGACAAAACACTCTTTTCCCATCTCACTATACCATGCTTCTTCCACCAAAGTAAGCTCCTATGTATGGTAATGATGGATCCACCCATCCTACATTTTTGCATTGTATTTTTTCCTCTTAGAGCATATCAGATTCTATGCTTGGTATCCAGAGAACTTACTCCTAACAGTTGGCACTATGTGTAGTCCTGAAACCTTCTTCCTAGTCTGCGTATACATGCCCCGCTCTCCTTTCCCAAACTGTGAAACATGGTTAATGTTCCAAGTGTTGTTTTCTTGTATGTACCTGTCTCTATTGAGTCAGAAAAGTTCCCAGGTTGGGGGTTATAGTTAGTAATTCCAGATAAGAGATTTGAGATGCATTAACCCCCTGCTGAATCTAGCGGAAACTATTTGAAAAGGAACAGAATTTTCAGGGGAAATTACAGCTGTTCCATGTGTGACTGACAAAGTAAAACTAAAAACCGCCCCAAGAATCACCAATGTAACGAGAAAAAGCCTACAAGCTACACAGATTTTGCAAATTCCTATGCCGTCCTGTGGAGCACTGGTCCTTACCAAGTGAGAGTTCGTTTACACAGGTGTCTTACCTCGAGGACAGGTGGTCATACGCTGCACTGCTCCCAACAGATAGTGAGGGCAGCACTAGAGGCAGAGCTCAGGTGTGAGGTCAGGCTCCAGGATGTGTAATTAGCTCTGTGTGACCCTCTCCCTCTGTGAGGCCCAGCATTCCCTGCACTGGAGTATGTGCATTACCTACGCAGCAGGCTGGGTGAGGAGCAAGTGGGATGGTCTGTGAATCCTCTGTACTGTGTGAGTGTCGGGTTGTTACTCATGCCTAACCTAGCTCTTGGTCTGTCTACCCCTAGTGGCCCATCCTGGGACAGCTTGTCTTTTCATCAAAGTTCCAGAAGATGGAAACATTTAAACCTCCAAAGGATATTGACCTAAAGTCACTTTATCTTCAGAAGCCTCTAGAGTCCACCTGGAAAAAAACCAATAGCCAGTTCTTATCTGGTCCTCAGAAATCAAATAGCCCCTTTACCCCACTCCAGAAAGAGCTGTTCTTAATTATGAATTCTTACCGAGACCTGTTCTACCCAGAGAGGACTGCCCTGAAGAATGGAGAAGAGGTCCGCCATGTGTACTGCCTGCATGCCATAAACCACGTCCTCAAAGCAAATGCCCAAGTGTTGGCTAATAACAGCAGGCACCGGAGCCAGAAGCTTGGGGTGGGTGAAGATGATGACTTCAGGGACCAAGGGCTAACCAGGCCTAAGGTGAGTGGCAACAGGAGAGTTTTGCCCTCGAGGGGGCCATGAGGCACTGCTGAGTCATGAGTGTGTTGACAGCTGACTGGTTAGTGGATCCTCAGGAGCTGTTGAGTGACAGGCAGTGCAGGACAGTGAAAGGGGCTTCAGGTGCTCTCAGGGATGAACCCAGAACACACAGAAGCACCCCATTGTTGGGGGTCTCTTCCTGGTGACTTAAGGCTCACTGGTACTGTAGCTGGAAGTTTCTCTAGTCCTGCTCAGCCCCATGGTGTGGTCTGGACGAATCTCTCCTGCTGGTGTCCCACAGCTGCTTGGTCCTAAGTAAACACACAGAGGCTTATATTACTTACAAATTGTATGGCCTATGGGTCAGCGTATATTAGCTAGCTCTTTCAATTTAATTTAACCCATTCCTATTAATCTGTATGTTGTCATGCTGTTGTGGCGTTAGTGGTCTGCTGGCATCTTATTGCTCCTTCGGAAGCGTGCTGGCATCTCCATGACTCCACCCTACTCTCTGTGTCTCTGCTTGGATTTTCTGCCTGGCTGTAAGCTTTCTTGCCGTAGGCCAAAACAGCTTTATTAACCCATCAGAGCAACACATTCACATCATACAGAAAGACATCTCACAGTTTCTTATCCAGTCCCAATATGTGACAGCTATGGATGGACCCAGATTCACAGAAAGCCCTGCTAAAGAGAAGAGGAGAGATTAGCAGAGATGGACAAAAATCAGGCTTTGCACCAAGCCACATACACAGAAACCTTCAAGCCAAAGATGCTTGAAGTAATGATTCTGTTTACTTGTGCTCTCAAGCCTGACCTCTGCACGTTGAGGCTCTAGTAGGAAATGAAATATATATAATTCTGTCCACATTTTTTGTGATGTGAGGGGCCAGGCCTTGTTCTCGCACCTGCTCCACCTGTCTCCTCTCAGAAGCTCATGTTTTCAGACTATTGTGGAGCTCAACAGGATTCAAGGGTGTAAATACTGACGTGGCTCTTAAAACTTTTTTAGTCTGGTCCCTCGTCACCACCAGCCCCATAATCCAGCCTCTTAAATCTTGCCCTGGCAAACAGGGCAAATTACTTACTCCTTTGGCCAGCTGGTTGCATTTCTAGGTGGCTCTCTCAGACACATGGACATAACATCGAGACTGTCTGTGCACTGTCACAGATTGCCCTAACTTACTTGTGATTGGAATCTCCTGGTTTGACTAGAATCACACACACTGTTGAGTTTCTTACTTGAACAAGAATGGCAGGTAGTTAGAAATTAGCTCTTTGCTAAGCATCTTCTGATTCTCTGCTCAGCAGAAACTTTGTGCATTTATTTTTAGGTGTATTTAATTTTATGTGTATGAGTGTTCTGCCAGCATGTATGTATGCGTACCACATGCATGCCTGGTGTCTGTAGAAGTCAGAAGAGGGCATCAGATCACCTGGAACTGGAGTTAGGATGGTTGTGGGTCAACATGTGAATGCTGGGAATCAAACTCTGGTCCTTGCAAGAGCAACAGGTACTCTAAACCACTGAATCATCTCCTAGGCACTATCTTGAAGCATTTTTAAGAGGCTTGGAAAATTGAAGCCTGTTTTTCCAATTCAGAAACGTGTCATCATTGATTTCAAAAACTGTTTATAGAATACCCTAGAAAAATAATAGTGTGTTAGTCCTTTTCTGTAATTTTTTCTTACTCAGTCTCTTAGTACTTTTCTGTTGGTGTAACAAAACACCATGACCATGGCAACATATAAAAGAAAGCAGTTAATTGGGCTTACAGCCTCAGAGGGGTGGAGTCCATGAAGGTGGACCAATGATGGCCGCAGGAACAACTGAAAGCTCACATCTTGATCCACAAGTAAGAGCCTGAGAGAGAAGCACATGGAGAATGGCAGGAGTCTCTGAAACCTCAAAGCCCACCTTCAGTGACACACTTCCTCCAACAAAATCACACCTCCTAATCCTTCCCAAACAGTTCTACCACCTGGGATTAAGCATTCAAACCTATAAGGCTACAGGAGCCATTGTACATGTTTGAGTGGGCCTTACTTTGCCCTCAGAGACCCTTGTATTTCTGTCCTAGAGTTTCTGCTGCTGCGCAGGCATCATTTTATACTGAAAGATATTTCCCAGTTTTGCTTGAAATGTCTCCCATGGAGCTATGGGACTAAAGTTCACAGGACTTGTTTGTGTGGATACAGGAGACACATAGCTTCTGGTACTGAGCCAGGCCTTTTGGGAAGATACTCACCTCTGATCTGCTATTGCCCCACAGGTGCTTATAGTGGTGCCCTTTCGGGAAGCTGCTCTTCGGGTCATCCAGCTCTTCATCAGCCTCCTTGAGGGGGACAGCAAGAAGAAAATCATTGTAAGCAACAAAAAGAGGTTTCAGGGGGAGTATGGATCCGATCCTGAGGAGAGACCTCCCAACCTGAAGAGGCCTGAGGATTATGAAGCAGTGTTCGTGGGCAATATTGATGACCACTTCAGGATTGGTAATGCCCCCTGTCAAGGTGGGAGGTCTGTGGGAAAGCTGGAGGGGTCCCTGACTCAGTCTTCTAGCAGAGCTGAGTGCTCTTGAGACCTCTATCTTGCCAGGGACAGGAGTCTTGCCTTGGTTAGTGGTTGGAGACTCCAAGACAGCGTAGAAAGGCCTTGTACATTATTGTGGAAATGGTTTGGCTGCACTCTCAAGCTTCTCAGAGAGTCAGGAATCACAGATACTGGGTGGGATCACCCTGAGGAGGCTGAGAAAATTCAGTGTGTGGGGGTAAGACTAGATCTCCATCCTGTCTGTTTGTCGAGTGCCCACCCAACCTTAGGCACCCACCCAGCTTTTATGTTTGTGTCTTAGTAACTGTTTACCTTTATAAGTTCTTGGGAAAGTGCTCATTGTTCATGACCTTGGGCCTTATTCACAAACATCTACTGAGTGTCTGCAGCATGATTGACATGGTTAGGAATTAAGAAGCTGGGAGTTAGAAGTTAAAATTTGTACCTTGAGGGAAATCCAACCTAGGAAACAGCACTGGGTGACAAGCACTCACTCCTGGCATGGATGCTGACGAATGGTGTTTTTCAGGAGTGGCAATACTTCAGAGGAGCATTCGTCTCTATGCCCCCTTTTACTCCTCTGACATCCTCATCGCCTCCCCCTTGGGCTTGAGGACCATCATTGGTGGCGAAGGAGAGAAGAAGAGAGACTTTGACTTTCTGTCTTCTGTTGAGCTTCTCATCATTGACCAAGCTGACATTTACCTGATGCAGAACTGGGAACATGTCTTGGTAATAATGAGTCTTCCCCGTTGGAGGGACAGGATCCTTACTCAGTGTGTGTCGGATGGTTTTAGTCTAAGACAGCTGTTTGCAGCAGTGTCGAATCCAAGCTAGCTTGGTCTAAGAGCAGTGCTGTGTCTCAAAGGGTTGTAACCCCTCAATTTGGAAATAAGTTACTCTACATCTTCCAGTTTGTGAAATTCTTTTCTTTTTCTTCTACCAATAGGGCAGTCAATTATTAAACTACCCAGAGAGGGAGAAGTTCCTGTCAGTGTTTTCAAATATCCCCAGAGATTTCCATTAAAAGGTCTCTTTCTAGTAAGGATAGATAGATGAATGGGTGGATGGAAATCCTCACCAAGAACCCACTTACCAGGCAAGCCCTCATACAGTTCTCAGCCAAGATGAGAAAACATGGCATAAAGTTTCTTTTGGGAGAGGGGCAGAGGCTTGCGATGTAGCCCAGGCAGTCCTTAAACCCTATCTTCCTGCCTCAGCATCTGGAGTGCTGGGATTATACACATGCATCCATACCCAACTGCCTAATATTTCTTGTTAGTTTCTTTGTCTTTTTTTTTTTTAAGAGTTTTATAATTTTTAATTTGCTTGTTTGTGTGGGGGTGCCAGAGGCATCTGATCCCCTGGAAATGGAGTTACAGGTTGTGAGCTGCCCAGTATGGATTCTAGGGATTGCAGTGAGTGCTCTTACCTGCTGAGACATCTCAGCTCTGACTAGCATTTCTTATGTGGGACCTTGTTTCATGGAAAGTCTGTCTTCACATTCTAGTTTTCTTTCCTCCACATGATGTGGTACCCTTAGTTTTAGGATGAAAAGACTCTGGAACTACTCTTACCACAGAGCTATGATAGTTTTAAGGCAGGTGACAGCTCACCTCTGCTTCCACCTAAGGACTTAGAGTTTATGGGAAGTTTGGGGTACATCAAGGACAGTTGACACGTTTGAAAAATAAACTTGTAGCACTCATGACTCTTGGAGTGTGTCCTGCAGTATGTTAAAATGCAGCTGAAATGGGCAAGGAAAGCCTGGCGTGGTAGCTCACACCTGTAAGCCTGGCACTTGGGAGGCTGAAGCAGGAGGATTACAGTAAGTTTATGGCCAGACTGGTCTACAGTATTCAGGCTACCTTGACCTTACACACCCTGTCTCAAGAAAGAAAACACAGAAAAGGAGTTTGAGGAGGAGCAAGTGGCACAGCTCTGGGCCACGAGGGCTTTGGTTTCTCTTGTTTGCCATGCTAGGAGATGAACAGGATCCTGGGCATCCCTGTTACCGATGTTCTGAGATCCAGTCACTGAACCTCAAAGGTTCTCCTTCCATTGTGGCTTCTCTTTTTGTCCAGGTCTGGGACAGCAGCCCCAAGAGTGGCCAGTCTCCATTTCACAAGTTCCTTTCTTCTATCAGTCTTGTTTTCTTTATACTTTGTATTTTTATTATTGATTTTTCTCTGTTGACATATAAAGTAGTGGGTTTCGTGTGACCCTTTCATGCATGTGTATCGTACTTTGTCATGTTCACCCCGTCCACCCTCCCACTAATCCCATCAGTAGTTCTGTGGTCTTTGAGACAATCTCAGTCTGCAGCCTCAGCTTGCCTCAGACTCACTGTGTAACTCGTACTGGCCTCAAGTCCTCCTGACTCATGGTGCCCCATCATGCCTAGTTCTAAAAATTCCTTTTAAAGGAATCCTCCAATAGCTAGCCTGTGTTCTTTTGTTGTGCTTATTCTTCCTGGAATGTTCAGCTGACCTTGAGCAGGTCAACATCTGAGCCTTACGTTTCTGCTGTCACTAGGAGATGGTAATACATACTTCATGGGGTTAAGGAGATGGTGGATTATAAATGCTCATGGGTGCCCAGCACACATGCTCAGTGGACACTAATGGTGGTGGTGTTCTGCTCCTCCAAGCATTTGATGAACCACATGAACCTGCTACCTTTGGACTCACATGGGGTGGACTTTTCTCGAGTTCGCATGTGGAGCCTCAATAACTGGGCCAAGTACTACCGCCAGACATTGCTCTTTGGTGCCCTGCAGGATGCCCAGATCAACTCTGTGTTCAACAAGCACTGTGTCAATGCGCAAGGCCAGGTGAGTCCTGTCCTCAGATCGTCCTGCATCCCAGACTGGGTTTGGTCATGAAATACAAGAGTTGATGGCATGTGATCAACAAAGGATGCCTGCCTAAAGTTCTTCCCTCCTGGCAGGTGGCTGTGAGGAATGTCCCAGTGACAGGCTCCATCAGTCACGTGCTGGTGCAGCTCCCACATGTCTTCCAGAGAATGGACGCCCAAGATCTACCTTCAGTGATTGATGCCAGGTAACTCCGCCCACGCCCAGAGGGCCTCCTAGAGAGATTTGACTTTGGATGCATATTTAGCACTGGACTCTGTTGCTTTTAGTAAGTACTGATTACCAGTTAGGTCCCAAAACTGAACTCAGGCATGACAGAAGGAAGCCGGGGAGAAATGGGGGCTTGGCCTCAGTCTCAGAGCTAAAAAGAAGCTAGGTTGGAACTGAAGCCTGTGCTCCTGGCCCCTTGATTGAGACATTGCAAAATCATGCCGTGCTGCTGTGGGCTGTGATATACTCCAATGCCATTCCACTCAATTGTAAACCCTTCAGAGAAGAGCTGATTGTCTCTCTCCACATTTGCCTCTGTGGGCCTGTGTGCTTAGCGTGTGCTGGACAGGCAGGGCTTATTTGTTATTCAGTGAGTGAGGAGTGTGGTCTGAACTGCACTAATTCTCTGGCATATATGGCACCAAGCCTGCCTTTACACTTACTGTGAGCACCTCATTTTCTACGTGCTTATCAAGTTTTACCCTTTTGTAGTCAGTCTTTGGCCTCGGGATCCCTCAGGTTGTGGCTTGCTGGCCCACACTGTTACTGCCTACTGTAGGTTCAGCTCCAGACTGTTAACCTTGTCCTTGGCCTTTCCTAATCAGGTTTCACTTTTTCATAAACAAGATTTTGCCTCAGTACCGGGATGCCGTCATGTCCCATACACTCGTCTATGTCCCCTCCTACTTTGACTTTGTGCGTCTCCGAAATTACTTCAAGAAGGAAGAGCTGAACTTCACACACATCTGCGAGTATACACAGAAGTCTGGGGTCTCCAGGGCTCGACACTTCTTCCTTCAAGGAGAGAAGCAGTTTCTGCTCCTCACAGAACGCTTCCATTTCTACAAAAGGTAAAACAGTCCAGGCCCTACCCCTGAGAGGCCTGGGCATGCTCTGTGGGGCTGTGCACACATCCCTTACCTCTGTTCTTTCAGAGAGGCCACAGGGGTTGCTGATGCTGGTCTCTGCATTGTGGATTGGTGGGTAGGTGGTTCATTGGTTGCTTGGTTTGTTAGTTGGTTCCTTCCAGAAATGGGCATTGTTGGGAAGGATAGAAACTGCCCTGTATGGTCTGGAATGCAGCTGTGGTCCAACATCTCACAGAAACCAGTCCAGAGTTGAAGAGCAGGACATGATCCACACAGGTGAGTTTGGGGAGGTGGAGGTTGAGCAGTGTCAGTCCTGCCCAGGGTGACTGTCTCACTGTGGAGAGCGCCTTGATGGTGGCAGGGGCAAACCTGAAGAGGCTCCGAGTTGAGGGTTTCAGTGTTTCAGTGTGTGCCTAGCTTACTACCAGTCAGAACAGAACATGTTTCAGTGTGTGCCTAGCTTACTACCAGTCAGAACAGAACATGTTTCAGTGTTTCAGTGTGTGCCTAGCTTACTACCAGTCAGAACAGAACATGTTTTAGTATTTCAGTGTGTGCTTAGATTACTGCCAGTCAGAACAGAACGTGTTGGCCGTTTGCTAGTACTTTTAAAATTCTAATTTGCTTGTTAGTTAATAAGAGCTTTCTGGACCTGCTAAATGGCTATGGCCTGAGCTCACTTCTGTAGCTAGAGTTTTCCTGCCTGGCCCACAGTCAGGACAAATCTCTGACACCCGCCAGTCCCACAGCCTCTCAGACCCGACCAAATAAACACAGAGACTTATATTGGTTACAAACTGTATGGCCGTGGCAGGCTTCTTGCTAACTGTTCTTACAGCTTAAATTAATCCATTTCCATTAATCTATACCTTGCCACATGGCTTGTGGCTTACCGGCATCTTTACATGCTGTTTCTCATCATGGCGGCTGGCAGTGTCTCTCTCACTCAGCCTTCCACTTCCCAGCTCTATTCTCCTCCTTGTCCCACCTATACTTCCTGCCTGGCCACGGGCCAATCAGTGATTTATTTATTGACCAATCAGCAACACACTTGACATACAGACCATCCCACAGCACACTTCCCAGGACCCTCATGGTGGAAGGAGAGAACTGACTCATGGTTCTCCAGAAAGCTGCAGTTTTATGTGCTCCCCAAATCTCCATCAGGCTTCCTGCTGCCAGATGCAAACCTTTCTAATGCTTTACTATAGAGAAGGAAATTAGGTCCAAATCCTTCTTTCTGACTTCTTATGGTGGGATTTTGAGTTGTTGTTTCATTTCATTTTGTTAAGACAAGGTTTTATTAAGGGAAATTTCAAACTATCCATGTAGCGCAGGCGGGCCTTGAACTCACTGTGTAGCACAGGCTAACCTTGAACTCCTGATCCTCCTGCTTCTACTTCCCAAATTCTGAGATTACGGGCACATACCTCCACACCTAGCTGATATTTCTGTTTTATTAACTTGCCATAATATAGAACAACAAGGATCTGCCTGGCATATAAGCCAGAATTCTGCTCTCCAACCTTTGATGGACATTCAGCCATGCACCATGACCCTATAGGCCTTTTCATTTATGCTGGTATGGGAATGTTGTTTCCCAAGTGTGTTATGTTTTCCTGGATAATGAAGGAGGTATCCTAGCAGCCTGCACAGGCTCGACAGATTAGGCATGAAGACTTCTTTACATATTATACCTAGTGATACACGAACATGTAACATTACATGTAATGAATTGCCAAAAACTGAGTGTTTGTTCCCAGCTCCATTCTTGGCAACCTGGGCTGCTTGGCCAGGGAGCTCATGGGTGCCTGCTGCTGGCCGCATTGTTGGCTGGGTTCTAGACAGTTGCTTCCATTCATGGTGGAGTCACACTCACTGAAGCTGTTAGCTTTGTGTCATTCCAGCAAATGGAAGCATGCTGTCTGCATGGCTGGAAATTTTCCCAGGGTGATTCTAACCATTTCAAATGTAACTGGGCTAGGCACTGCTTTCAGACATCTCAGCAGGTTTTCAAGGCATCCGTGAAAGGAGTCCTGGAGACAGCAGTCCCAGTGTATACTGTTTACACTCAAATCAAATTTTCCTCAAGCTCATTGTGAAGACAAGTCTCAGTCTCTGCCACTCACAGGTTTCTTAGGGTGGAGGTGGACTGCGGTAGTGCCACACATCTCTGCCATGGCTAATGATCTCAGGGTTTCCTTCTGTCAAAAAGTTACTGAGAGACTGGAGAGATGGCTCAGTGGTTAAGTGCACTGGCTGCTCTTCCAGAGGTCCTGAGTTCAGTTTCTAGCACCCACATGGCTGCTCACAGTCTGATGCCCTCTTCTGGTCTGCATGCATACATGCAAACAAAGCACCTGTGTAGATAAAAAAAATAAATCTTTGCCAGCTGTGGTGGCGTATATCTTTAATCCCAGCACTCAGGAGACAGAGGTAAGCGGATCTCTGTGAGTTCAAGGCCAGCCTGGTCTACAGAGTGAGTTCCAGGATAGCCAGGACTACACAGAGAAACCCTGTCTCTAAAATACAAACAAAATGTTATCAAAGAGATGATGAAAATTTAACCTCTAATTACTTTGGATCCAGTTTATTTAACCTGAGAGGAGGAAGCACCTGAGGGCATATGCTAGAGATGGAACCTAGGGCCTTGCATGTGCTGGGCAGACGCTCTGCCACTGAGCTCAGCCTAGCATTACAGTATGTGTATTAGGAGTGGGGGGTCTCAGGGTTCTGTGTCTCATACAGAGAGTTGAATAAGAGAGAAAAAAGTGGAAGTAAAGATAGAGAACACTCCACAGGGTAGAGCAGGCCGTAGCAAGCATATGGACCAAGGGAAGGTATGCAGCAGTCCTTACCCTGACTGACAGATGGCTGTTCTATAACCTTGGATAATCTGTATATATTTGGTTCATATATCCATAATTGTAAGCATATGTATGTCCCATCATGTGTACACGTGAGGTCATAAATAGGGGTTGTTTGTTTTGGTATGGTTTTTTCCTTCAGGGACAGATAAGGCCTTCACTGTAACTTGTGCCCAACACCAGTCTCCTTATTGCAAGCCATGGATTACAGGATTGGGGTGCCTCGGGTTGCTGGGCTGGCCTTGCTTGTCATAGTCATATCCCACTGGCTGGCTGACAGTGTTGAGAAGAAGAGAATGAAAGCAACTTAGAGCTGAGTGGGTGTTTGGTCATGATTTCTCCTCCAGGAGGGTTCATTGTACCTTTCCTGCATATTGCTGCGGTGGGCAAGATTCCAAGCTGGAAACTAGATTTAGGCTGCATGGCATTTAGAATGGCTGCTGGGGCGGGGCTGGGTCCTCCCTGCACTTGTGTGAGTCCAGGTTCTAGAAGTGATGAATCTCGTGTTTGCACCACACAGAAGCAGCTTTGGAATGCAGCTACAGTAGTCTTTACCAGTTGTCAGGGAAAGCAGACATGTGGGATGTCCTAGGCTTTATAAAGGTCCTGTCAGGATTAGGCTTATTTGATGGCTTGGTATATTCACAATCAGGGAGGTATACAGATAAAAGTAGGATAGGAAAGGGGGCTCGGGATGGGAGACTCGCATGAACTGCCTCTGAACAGGCTCAGTCTTGCTGTTTCTAGGAAGTTCCTAGTCTCTCTTGTGAGCAAATTGAAACAGACCTTTTTTGGTTTTTATTAAAAATGTGGTCATGCTTCTCTTGTCTTCTTTGGTTTTCCCACTTCTGAGGGTATTTGCTACATGTACAAAACTTGGAGATTGAAATTTAGAAAGAATTTAAAAAGAAACCATAGTCACCCATGATCAGTACAAATACTTTTATTAGCTAGACCTGTCGTAATGCTTGCTCTTAGGAGATGCAGGTAAGAGGGTCAGGGGTGCGAGGCCAGCCTAGTTACGTGGGGGTAAGGATTAAAGAGAAACAACTGGGCCAGTGAGATGGCTCAGCAAGTAAAGGCTTGCTTCACCAAGTCTGATCACTTCAGTTCCATCCCCAGGACTCACGTGGTGGAAAGAGACCAACACTCTCAAGTTGTTTTCTGACCTCTGCATGCATGCTATAGTGCACATGCACATACACAGTAACTAAGTTTTAAAAATTAAAGAATACATCCTTTACATAAATATTTTAATGTGTTTTTCCTTTCATTTTTTACATGAGAAATCTGAGCATATATATGTACCTGAACCCTTCATTAGTCTTTTTAAAATACTACTGTATGCATTGGGGTTTTCTTCCCTTTAAGTGTCCCACGTGCTCATTGTAAAGCAAAATTCAAACACGTACTATCTCACTATCTGCATATTGTGGATACATTTTTAAGCTAATGTATACAGCTTTCCCATACATCCTCCTTTTCCCTAGATTTCTAGAGAAAGAAAGATTTCCCCTGTGGAAAGATTTCATTTCAGAAGGAAATTGTAAGATTCTTAATAAGCATCTGTAGCCCTTGTCTCTCTGAGTTCCCCAGCCATGGGTACTTTATCACATATGTGTGCACATTTGTGTCTCTCTACTCCAGCTGTGGGTACTTTACCACGTATGCATGTACATTTGCTTGTGTCTATTCCAGCCACAGGCACTTTACAATGTATGTATGCATAATGTATGCACATTAATGTCTCTCCACTCACCTCTCTTTTTTTTTTCTTCCTGAATCATTCAAAAGTTAGTAGCACATGTAAATGTTACAGCTCTGATAGAAAGGTATCCTGGCAGTTGGAAGCCAAGGAATACCTAGAGCTCTGAAGGGAAAGGTATCTGGACAGAAGTGTTACAGCTCTGTTCTTGTGGGGGACCGTTTTCCCAGCAAAGTGTTACAGTCTTTGCTCCAGCAGGGGAGGGTTTCCCCAATGAGGTTGTTAGAGCTCTGCTCTGGAGAAGTGTTACAGCTCTGTTCAGCTTCCCTGGAGTGTAACAATTCTGCTCCAGCAAGGGAAAGTTTCTCCAGCTAAAGTATTACAGTTCTGCTCTGCTCCAGCAAAAGTTGTTACAGCTTAGATCTGCTCCGGTGAAAGAAAGTCGTTACAACAACCTCACTCAAGGGATTAATTGGGAGGGAGGAATCCAGGAGAGTGGCTGCCTCTGCCAGGGTAATAAAGGCAGCCCCATATTGAACAGGTACAGGGCATACATAGGGTTTCTTAGGGGCAGAGCTTCCAGGGTGAAGATTTTCAGGGTAGGGATTGGTAGGATCTCAATTCCTGAGCTTGGGACAAGCCCCCATTGGTTGGATTTTGTGCTCAGGAATTGGTTGGATTTCAAGTTGGTTAGGGGCAGGGTGTGTTTCCTTGGCTCGGGTCTCAGGGCCAGGATGTTCTTTCACTGGCCCTTTTTACCCTACAGCACACACTTGTTGTCCCACCACACCACAAGTTAGATCAGAAGGATCCCTTCAGCCCAGGAGTTCGGGACCAACCTGAGCAGTGTAGCAAAACTTCTCTAGCTAAAGAAAAAGAAAGAGGAAAGGGGCTTGGTGATACTTCACCCTGAGTGTCGCAGCACACCCATCCTCAACACCAGAGCCTGTGACCGTGACGCCTGTGTCCTGGCACTTGTGTCACTGCAGTGGTGCTGTTGTAGGTGGGCTAGAGCAGCTTTCCCAGGCCGTTCTGTTCCCCAGTCCAGGATACCAGGTGTACAAAGCATTTGTTGACTTCTTTAGTTTAGTCTCAACCAGGGACACTTGATTGTCACACTGTCGGGTTATTTTAGTGAGTTGAGAGCAGGAATGCTGCTAGGCCCTTGCAGTGTGCAGGACAGCTCACCAGAGTGTGGCCTGACCCAGATTGTCAATTGTGAAAGAACAGATCTATGATAATTCTCTTGATTTTGTTCTCTTTATGACATTGGCATTTTTTTTGAAGGGTCTTATGATGTTTCTTACAATTATGTCCCATAATTCAGATTTGTCTAATTGCTTATTGTTTGGACAAGTGGCTTCTAGACTTGGATGTATATTAGAATTCTTGAGAGTGATTAACAAGCCACATGTTGAGTCCCATCCCAGTACTACTGAATCAGTGTCTGGGGACAGATGGAGTCCCTACAACAGAAGAGACAGGCTGAACGATCAGTGTGCATCAATTTGGCTACTGATTAAAATAATACTTATGTTCAGAATTCTACCTAAGAGGAACGTGTATCAATCCTGCCTCATCTCGTGGTAATGGCCCCCAAAGGGAGTGACACTATTGGGAGGTGTGGCTTTGTTGGAATAGGTGTGCTCTTGATGGAGGAAGTGTGTCACTGTAGAAGCAGGCTTTGAGGGCTCATCTATGCTTAAGCCATGCCCAGTGAGACAGACCACTTCCTGTTGCCTGCAAGATGTAGGACTCTCAACTGCTTCTCCAGCACCATGTCTGCCTGCATACTACTGTGTTGTGCCATGATGATAATTGACTAAACCTCTGAAATGTAAGCCACCCCAGTTAAATGTTTTTCCTCTATAAGAGTTGCCATGGTCATGGTGTCTCTTCACAGCAACAGAAACCCATACACATGACGGCAGCCTGTCTATTTGGGATGGTGCCATTCACCACAATCACTGGGTCATTGTGGGTCTGCTAGGTTTTCCTAGTGTAAAAGAGCCTTTCTCATCCATTAATACGTAGTCTATGCTGTATTTGCCATGGATATGTGCCATTCAGTTGTTTAGTTATGAAATGAACCTCATTTCCTTTTAATGAGCATGTAGTTTTGTTTTTTTTCAGTTTTTGAAATTATGGTGAGCCCTTTATATCTGTGGGTTCTGTATTCTCAGATTCAACCAACTGTATACTGAAAGAAGGCTGTGTATCAGTACTGAAGTGCAGATTTCTTGTCATTGTTCCCTAAGCAATACAGCTTTTAAAAAAATCTTTATTTCCTTTGTATGAGTGTGCATATGTGTGTGCCTATGCCCACAAGAAGGTATCAGATCCCCCAGAACTGGACTTACAGACAGTGTGAGTTGTGATGTGGGTGCTGGGAACCCAGCTTGGGTCATCTGAAAGAACAGCACGTAGTCTTAGCTACTGAGCCATCTCTCCAGCCCTCCACACAGCACTGACACTGTGTTAAATAAGAGGTAACTTAGAGTGTACAGAAGTATCAGGTTCTGTGCAAATACTGCATCATTTCGTGTGATAGACTTGAGCATCTATAGTCTTAGGTGTTAGAGAGGGTGCTCAGCCCAGTTTGTCCTGGTTCCTTGGCACACTGAGTGTACAATTCTGCAAGTACATCCATATGCATGTGTTTTGATGATAGACCCACCTAGTTGTTTCTTTAAAATAGATTTTGAAAGGAAAACTTACCGTCATAAAGGCTGCATACAGTTAAAAGTGGGTCCGTTGTCCCTCGCCCTTTTGCATCTTCTCCTCTGCCTCACTCCACAAATTCAAGGGCTGGTGTGCAGGAGGCTCTGAATACCATCCCTAGCACAACACACACACAAACACACACACACACACACACACACACACACACACACACACACGACACCACATTGTTAATGTCTTTTTCTTGCTTTTCTGTGTTCTATGTAATTTTCAGTTGGATACACACTCTGCAGTGAATAGTCCATATGTTCATATGCCCCTTGTCTGCTAGCCACTGGTGTGGGTGGTTGCTTTAGTCTTGTCTGGATTTGGTGGTTGCCATAGGGACCTTTCATATACCACAGGATTCAAATTCCTGTAGCAGATAGAGGGCACGCTTAGCTTGGTGTCTGAGGTACTGATGGATTTTCTGGGTGTCCTGGTCTCTCAGGACAGAAGTATACAGGTTCTGTTCGAATGTATCATTTCATATGACAGACCTGAGCATTAGTAGTCACTGCTTAAGTGCGTCCATACAGTCTGCCCACCCCCACCCCCCCATCCCACCCCACCCCACCATGCTGCAGGGAATGAGGTGGAAATTTGTGATCTGTTGAAACTAACTGCCTTGTCCTGGTGTTGAGTGGAGCCTCAGGCAGGATCTTGTAAGGTGGATGGACTTGGGCATCTGTGTCCATGGAGATGAGAAAGGACCGACAGGTGCTAGAATTGGTGCCGTTGGTTTTGTGCCCTGGCTCCAACCTCATCCCCGTTTTGCTTGATTATGAAGGTAATGTTAAGTTGTTCAGTATGTAGTTTTATCTGGCAGAACTTTATTTTCTTTTTATTAGTCTTTATTTAGTGTGTGCACAGGTGGAGATCGAAGGGCGTCTTTACGGAATCGGTTCTCTTCCAGCGTGTAGATTCCAGGAATTGAACTCGGGACAGACCTCAGGTTCCCTCACCCACGGAGCATCCCTCCTCCTCTGGCAGCTTTTTAGTCCTGCTCTGCTGTCTTGTTTTTACTTCAGCCCATGCAGAACAGGCTCAGAAAATGTACATTTCAGCCAGCTGTGGTGACACACAGCTGTAACTCCAACATTCTGGAAGGCTGAGGCGAGAGGATTGTTGTGAGTTGTGGGTTTCATAATGAGTTTGAGACCAGCTTGGGCTACATAGAAAGACCTTGTCTCTAAAGAAGAATGGGGCTGATGAGATGGCCCAGCCAGTAAAGGCATCTGGTTTCCACATGATGAAAAGAGAGCTGACTCCCACAAGTTGTCCTCTGACCTCTACATGTATGCTGTAGTGTATACACACACACACACACACACACACACACACACACACACACACACACACAGAGTAAAATAAATGTAGTAAAAAAGATAAATAAATCAATAATAAATATTTAAAAATTGGGCCAGGCATTGTGGTGCAGTCAATAATCCCAGCACTCAGGAGAAGGTAGAGGCAGGTGGTTCCCTGTGAGTTTGAGGCCAGCCTGGTGTACTATCTGACTTTCAGGTCATCAAGAGCTACATGCTGGCTGGGTGTTGATGGTGGCACACGCCTTTAATCCCAGCACTTGGGAGGCAGAGGCAGGCAGATGTCTGTGAGTTCAAGGACAGCCAGGGCTACACAGATACCCTGTGTGTGTGTGTGGCGGGGGGAGCTACATAGTGAAACAAGAAATACAAATTTATTATTTTAGACAAAAAAGGGGAAATGTGGTGATATATTATGTACCCTAATAAAATTTGCCTGAAGATCAGAGAACAGAACAAGTCACTAGATTAAACATAGAGGCCAGGCAGTGGTGGCACATACCTTTAATTCCAGCACTGGGAAACAGACTTGCCTTTAATCTCAGGAAGTGATGGCTGGGCGGAGAAAGGTATATAAGGGGTGAGGAGACAGGAATTAAAGGCTTTTCAGCAGAAGCATCCCTTTCAACTAGAAGCTTTTTCAGCTAGTCTTTCGGATGAATACTCAGAGGATTTCAGTCAGGATTTGTGGAATTGGTGAGGTGAAATGTGGCAGTGGCTTGTACCTTTGTCTCTGATCTTCAGGCAAATTTTGTTAGGGTACACAATATATCACCACAAATTTTTGTTACCATTATCTTAAACTCAGCATTAGGAATTCAGTTACGGTGTCATAAAAATAAACCCTCTGGCTCTCTGGTTGCTTTCTGTCCATGGTTTGTGCTCTTATTTTCACCCCAGGCATCTAGCAACACAGTGAGCCATGTCTCTGAAGCCATTGGTAGCACAACTCCGCAGGCTGGCTTCTTCATGCCCCCTCCCTCTCTCACAGGTACACAATAAAAGGCATCAGGAACCTGATATTCTACGAATTGCCAACATATCCTCACTTCTACAGTGAAGTCTGTAATATGCTGAGAGCCACCAGTAGAGGAGAGGAGGCCACGTGGACCTGTACTGTGCTCTATTCCAAGTACGATGCCCAAAGGTTAGCCGCTGTGGTTGGTGTCGAGCGGGCGGCACAGATGCTCAGGTCTCCAAAGAATGTCCACCTCTTTGTCACCGGAGAGAAATGAGTGTGGAGCAGGACAGTCTGCATCGATGAGCCACGTAGACCTGATTCTCATCACTTCCCCAGGAGCAAGCTCCAGACACACTGAAGTTCTGTGTCCCTGGGAAGTGCATTATAATTAGTGTTGGTGACCACAACTGCCAGATCCAAGAGCAATCTGCAAAGACTGTCACATTCAGAAATGAAGCTTGTGTTTGTCAAACATGTAAGCTGTAAATTCTCCAATTAACTTTTTACATGGGGAGGATTCTCTGACCTGCTCTCCATTCTCTCAAAGCATTGGTAGTGTTGTTTGTGAGGCTGGCCAAGAGAGTTGGCGACGCCTACTGATGTGTCGTCTCGGTCTTGGCACACGTCCTGTGGAACTGCCTTTGCAGCCAAAGTAAAAAAATATAAACATTCTAATCTAGAAGAGTACATTCATCACTGATCTTTTGAAATTCCTCACGGTGTTTTAATAGCTAACACATTTACAGTCAAGTTATATAAAGCAGCGTTTATTTCTGCAGTTCCAGAAACACCTTTTAGGACCCATGTTTGATGCCTGTCCTTATTGCCACTGTCTCTTGTTGCTTTAGCTGGTTTTCAAGTCATGTAGCAGGTGAAAGTGAAAAGGAAGTCATACTTTGAAACATTAAAAACATTATTTTAAGCTTTATTATAAAAACAAATGCCATTGCAAACAAAGAACCATCACAGATGACTGTTGCTTCAGGTAACAAGGAAGAGTGGAGCCTGAGCCGACGAGGTTGTTGGCAGTTGCCTGCCAACCTCACAGGCGTGTGGCCCCATCCCTTTGTGTGTTCACGTGAGCGAGTCTTGTTCTTTGGGACCTCAGCACGGCCTGCCTCGAGTGATCAAACTGCTGCTGCTGCCACCAGATCCCTGGCTCCACTGGAGCCTTAACCACGTGTACCAGCCTTGTTCTAGACAGCGAGAGGACGGGGCGGGACTGCAGGCTCCCGGTGGACCTGCTGTGTCCCATACTCGGAAACACAGTTTCCTATGGACTGAATTGACCGTGACGCTCTGAGGCCAGGAACTCCCTCAGATGTTTCTTAGGTTAGATTAAATGGCACTTGTGGCAGGAGCCTCACCAATCCCCATTACTGCCAACCCGACTGACCACTTGTCTAAGACAGGATTTGTCAGACTTCACTTTAAAGTGAAAAATTAATTTCTACTTTATTCTTTTTTTTTTTTTTTTTTTTTTAGGTAGAGTATCCACCCCAGGCTGGCCTGGGATTCATGACAATGAACACTGGAATCACATGGCTTGAGCCACCATGCCTGGCCTTCACTTTATTTTAAATCTATAGACATGCTTCCTTTTTCATTGAATGGGTTACAATCTTGCCATCATTATTTTTTCAGGAACTACCCTGGTCTCAGATATGACCAGTAGGATCACCTTCAAGCTGGAACCTGTGTCCTTCTCACTTGTCCCCTTCTACTTAGGGATCAGGGATTGTTGTATTTCCTGACAGGGCATTCAAGTTTCTCTATTTCAAGCCCCATCTGTGGTGAGGACAGTAATGTGTGTCCTGGGTCTTGTGTTTAGGTTCAGGTTGCTCAAGAAGACCTTGACGTCTTAATATTCCTTCCTCCACCTCCCATGTGCCACTAACACATCTGGCTGTTTGTTGTCCTCAAGGCTGTTGGTTGAGAGTTTTGTTTGTCTTGTGTTTTTAATTGATTGATTGATTGATCCATTGATTAAATTACAGTGCTTGAGAATCAAACCCAGGCCCTTGCATGCAAGTCCCCAACCCTTGTATTTTTGAGACAGGATCTTGCTATGACACTTAAGACAGCCATGGCCTTGTGGCCCAGGCTAGCCTCAACCCATAACCCTCCTGCCTCTGCCTCTCAGTGAGAATCACAAACCCAGCAGCTCTGCGTGCTGGGCTCCTGCTGACCTTCCCTGCCAGCCCCAGACTTTTCATCAGAGCTTCGGAATGTTTGTCTGAATGTGCATGCATGTGTGAACACACACAAACATTGAAATTTACTTCTTGTCCGCATATTAGAAACTGTGAATTCAGATTAGTGTTTCTATTTCCAGTGTATGCTGCAGGGTTCCTTCTGAGTGATTTCCCCTGTCCTCAGAGACAAGCCACAGTGGGTACATATTTTCTTATTCTTGTACATACTTAAAGTTTCTTAAAACAGTAATGGCTTGGCAGATAAAGGCACTTGCTACCAAGCCTGGGAATTTAAGTTCTATTCCCAGAACTCACATGGTAGGAGACAAACAACTCCAACAGTTATCCTCTGACCTCCACATGGGTGCCATGGTACCTCACCACACACACACACACACATACACACACATACACACACACATACACACACACACACACCACAGATTTATTTAAAAAAAAAATTTTTTTTAAAGTGATGTAATTTGGGGCAGTTTTTATGCTAAATAGGCATTTTGATTTCTCAGCATAAGCAAAACCAGTTATTCCAGATTGAGTTCTAAATTTCAGGATATTTAAATGATTGATAGAAGCCAACCAAACCCAAGCAAGTACGAACTTCCTGGATGTACAGATCTCCCTGTGGTTATTGGCGTCTGTGTGCCACTGTTTGCCGTATTCTTCATTAATTATGAGAAAGGAAATGTTTGTTGCTTTGTTGAAAACCGTGAAACAAAAGAACCATAATTCCTCAGGTCTGTTTGCACAGACTTCATGTGAACTGCAGCTCACAGGACGGATTGTTGTAACTTCCGAGAGTGCGTGGACTGCCGAGAGCTGGTGTGATTGATGTAAGAGATGACATCACAGCGATGGAGGAGTGGCCCTCAGACAGCAGCCACGGTGATCATGTACACTAGAACCTACCTTGCCAGTCTTTCCAGTCTTCTGATTAGAGACATCTCCCCTCTCCCAGTGTCTAACTTGGTAGTTCTTAGGCAGGCTCATTTGCAGCCCACAAAGTCTGGAGTGATCCCAGGCCCAGGAAGGCAGGGCTTATCCAGAAAGTGAAACTTTTAGACTCCGCATAGCCATCACAGCTACTTTGGCACTTTTCTTTTTGAGGAAAAAGACTTTGAATCGTGACCGCTGCTCACAGCTGGCTGCACCATATGCAGTGTTCAAAACAAGAACAGGCTAATCACAGAGTGCCCACAGCAGAGATTCAGCCCTCTGCCTGCTTCCAAAGGGCTTGTAATTGAGTGCAGATGGCCCAGGCAAGATGGGGGGGTACATGTCCCTGATGACTCATAGCTCAGAGGACCAAGGGGTTGGTTTCCAGAAGCTTTGATGCCTGATTGTACCCCTTGTGTGGTAAGGATACGGCTGCTGAGGGTAAGGTAGAGCAGAGACAGGTTGTGCTCATGCTTGCTGACTGCCTTCTGCTGGGCCTCCCTGGGATCTGTCTTCAGACAGCTCAGGTTTAGATTTGATGGGCCTAGAGTCTCAAGATGGGGAAAGAAAGCAGGACGGGGAAGTTCTTTACACCACCTGAAGAGCCTTGATGTGTTAGCTATAGATGGCTGTGAGGTGCTGGAAGCTTCCAGAAAGAGTGCTTTGGAAGCCACGCTCTTCAGGGTACGTCCTCTGGAGTCTGAGGCCTCTAGCTTTCCTGCCCTTCCACCCCTTTTCTAGATGCCTATGATTTGTGTTTAGTGTAAATGCCTCTATGCCTCTGGCCACACTACTGTCATTCCTGTGGGACTTGGGATCATGTAAGAGGACAGAGCTCAATCTCAGAAGCAGATGGTGGCCATCTCAAGTAGTGGAGTCCTGGTACTGAGAAGTCAGGGCTAGGCTTGGAATGCCATAAGCAACTCTTTGTTCTACAGAGATCTGAGCCTGTGCTGGTGGGCAGCTCAACCTGACTGTCCCCTCGCTGCTGAGGTAAGCATCCTGCTAGCCTGCTCTCCCAAAGGCCTACAAGTCAGAGGTGTCCTGACCAAGTCATTGTGGTCATTCTTGGGCCTCTGCGTTTGGCTGACCATTTGGGCACCATGGCCTCAGCTGACATCTGACTATTCTAGAGCTGCCCATCTGCCTTCCTGGCTGAGCAAGGCCAGGAATGACAGGGGTGTCCAGCATCCTGCCATCTTTGTCCTCATTGAATTCTGTTCTTCTCTCCAGCAAGGTCATGCAGGGTAAGATTTTCTGGGCTCACAGCTACTCTGTTCATAGACTCCTATTGGTTAGACTTCTTAGTCTTTGTTCAAAGTCAGCCTGAAGGCTAGGGATGCTCACTTTTGTCTGAGTCTCCTGGAAGCCAGGGACCCTCACTCTGGAGTGAGTCTCCTGGTGTTGGATGGTGTAGCACCTGACACACTGTGTACAAGTCCAGTTACTGCTGGGATTTGTGTTGGGTTGGTTTTTGCTTTTTCCAAAGGTCTTGCAATGCAATAGAAGCACCTTCACTGAGCTGCAGTCCCAGCCCTACTTACCATCATGGAGTAGGGAACAGTCTGCCCTATCCTTAAGAGAGGGTGAAAGTGGAGGATACTCTCTGCCCTTCATCAGAACCCAGCTTTAATGGGTGAAATAGTATCCAGTGAAAACCTACATTTCCCACCACCCTTCTGGTGATTAGATGGGCCCAGGGAGACAAAGGCGGAGCCCGCTGGGAGAGTGCTTCCCAATGGAGGGGACACCCAGGACTTTGTCTTTCTTCACCTACCAGGACTAAGTAAAGGCTGAAACTCTGCAAGTCAAGTGTTCTGCATAGCGATGCTGCAGAGGGCAGCTTCCATGCAGTCCTTCGTAGTCCCTTCACTTTACATGAAGGCCTGCACTGGGACAGTGTTCCATGATGGTTGCCTGACTGCTACCAGCAGCGCAGAGTTAACACTGCCAAGTCCCAGGGCCTTCACTTCGGACACCCCCAGTGCACACTGTACTGTAAGGATGGGGGAGGGGCTGGCAGACATGATCCTATGGGGATTATAAAAAGGATGTCTGGGTTGTCGCTGAGTAGTGGCTTTAAGGACCTCAAATGTTTCCAAATGGTGTGCTCTGTCTGACTGGCTTTTCTAGTCAGCAGTGCTGCGTGGAAATGCTCTGAGTCTCCCTAGTCCTTGTCCTGTTTCTGAAGCTGCACTCAGATCTTTCTCGCCCTCCCAATAACCCTCTGTTTAAAAATAGCTACCCTGTCCATGAGCCTAGTTTTCTCCAAGGCAATTATTCCGACTTCCTTCAAGACTTTTTTCTGAAAAGTATGTGTTGCTTTTAGTCTTTTAAAAGAGTAATCCGTGCTCGATCAAAACAAGCAAACAAAAAAAGTGAAACGACCCAGGCATTTGTGCCCTAGGCATAAGGATCCTGATTACATGGCCAGCCTGGTCTGTATAGTGAGATCTTGTCTCAAAACAACCAAAATCAATAAAGCAAACCAAAAGTGAAACATCTGTTTGGCGCTGTGTGTGTGTGTGTGTGTGTGTGTGTGTGTGTGTGTGTGTGTGTGTGTATGTGTGTTGAGACAGGGTCTTAAATGTCCCAAGCTGGCCTTGAACTCATGTGTAGCAGAGGATAACCTTGAACTCATGATTCTCACTCCTCCCAAGTGCTAGGTGGGTAGTTTTTGGTTGTTTAATGAGTTATGGATATTGTCATTGTTTATGATAGTTTGTTACAAGTTGTTAATTGTTAATGGTCAGGAAAAAAAGCTGAACAAGAAGATTAGATTCAGAGTTTTTGATTCAAAAAAAAAAAGAAAGAAAGAGAAAAAATATAAAGAAATAATAGGATAAATGGGTAGATCACGAATCTACTCTAAAAAGAAAAAGGGGAAGATATAAAAATGACAAGGTAGATTACTGAATTTATTATGAAAAGAAAAAATACTTTTAAAAAGGAACTACTTGTTTTACATAGGATAAGTAATGAAAATTTTTTGTCTGAGTTTATCAAATGTTACTGGACTGGACATTATTAATATATTAATGGAGTTTTTTGTCTGAATCAGTCAAATGTTAATGGACTAGATATCATTAATGTAATCTTGACTGTATATTGTTTATACTTATTGGATATAATTTTTCTTGTATTAGTAATAAACTTTTTTTTAAATTTTAGACAAAAAGAGGGGAAATGTGGTGGTATTGTGTTCCCCGAAATATTGTGCACACTCATAAACTTATCTGGGGTCAGAGACAGAACAAGCACAATATTAAACGTAGATGATAGGCAGTAGTAGCATAAGCCTTTAATCCTAGCATTCCAGAGGTAGAAATCTATCTGTTCAAGGATACAGCCAAGCATGGTGCCTCATGCCTTTAATCCCAGGGAGTGGTGGTAAAAAGCAGAAAGGTATATAAGGCGTGAGGACCAGAAACTAGAAACATTTGGCTGGTTAAGTTTTTAGCTGGTTAACCTTCAGGCTTTCAAGCAGCAGTTCAGCTGAGAGCCATTGGGATGAGGACACAGAAGCTTCCAGTCTGAGGAAACAAGACCAGCTGAGAAGTTGGCCAGGTGAGGTTAGCTGTGGCTTGTTCTGTCTCTCTGATCTTCCAGTTCACCCCAATACCTGGCTCAGGTTTGATTTTATTAATAAGACTCTCTAAGAATCCTGCTACAGTGCGTGCCACCACATTTGTACTTTTTATGTGAAAGAAGATTTTGAGCATGCCTCACTGCAGATTTCAAGGGTGAGGAGGCTTGAAAGTGTTACGCATTACAAACACCAGGTGGCAGTGGGACCAAGTGTAGTCCAGAGCTCCCTCTGGGTTCCTTGGCCTTGCTGCTCCCAGAGCCTCAGGCCCGGCCCAGCCTGGCCGCCACCACCACCCTCTTCCCACCCTTCCACTTAGCTCATGGCTGTTGTGTTTATCTAAGCTGTTCTATTACCAGTAAAGACTCAGGAGTCAGATATTGGGGTGAAAACCTGACAGATCAAAGAAGCAGAGGAGCAGCCAGTTGATCTTCCTTTTTTTTTTTTAAACTGGAGACGCAGCAAGCGCCTCTCTCTCCACGCATCCCAGATCAAAGAGACTTCAAAGTCCCTCCCTTCTCCTTCCTGTGTGTCTTTCTATCCATATTCATGGCTTCTCTATGGCTAATCCTGGTCAGCTAGAATCCCAATTCAAGGTTAACTTTATTAACGGTCTCGGGATGTCACAGTGCAATCAAATATCCTGCAGCACATGGTGGTGGAAGAGACAGACATGTCAGCATGAGTGAGAGGGAAAGAAACAATTGGGAGGTGAATGAACCTAATTTTGGGACTGGAGAGATGGCTCAGTGGTTAGGAGCACTTACGAACACCCACATTGAGTGGCCTCCAGCCACCTACAACTCTAGCTCCAGGGGATCTAATGACCTCTTCCGGCCTCTGGAAGCACCTGCTCCCATGTGACATATGTTCACACAAACACACAATCTTAAAATATTTACACACACATATAAAATATCAGCTGGGGATGGTGGCACATGCCTATAATCACAGTACTTTGGAGGCAGAGACAAGAGGATAGCCACAATTCTGAGAACAGCCTTGTCTACATAGCTAGTTCTAAGCCAGCCAGGGCCAAGGGCAAAACCCTGTCTCAAAAAGTCGTGTGCGTGCATTTGTGTTTGTGTGTGTGTTTGATTTTGGGTGTTGGTAAATGGCAGAAGCAGATGCATCACAGTGAAGAATGAGATCTGATCTAGAACCTCTGCTGAATTCTGAGCACCCCCAAGGCTTCTTTGAGAGATAGTCTCTGCCACCATGCTGCAGTCCTCCATCCCTACAGTTGTTTCTCCAGACTTTCCTGAAGTTCACCTGAGTTTTCTAGTAGCTGGGGACACTGGGTCCTGCCCACCATCATTGTCCTCCATCGAGAAGAGCTCCCCAAATATACCAAAGAAAGCTGACATTATCACCCAAACAAGAATGATAATGTCCTCTTCTGGCCTCCTGAAGGACCTGCTCCCATGTGGCGTACGTTCACATACACACACACACACAAAGTTCTATTTTGCACGGATTTTGTGTGAGCGTGAAGATGGTGCGTCCTCTGTGAACACAGGTGGACACTCATAGGTCTCCCACCACCTCTAATCAGTACCAAGAAAAACTTTCCAAACAAAATGGGTCATTCCTGCATGGTGTGTGTGTGTGTGTGTGTGTGTGTGTGTGTGTGTGTGTGTGTGTGTGTGTGTGTGTGTGTATTAAACAGGATAGAGGCTGATAGGAGGGGAAAACATTCTGGACAGAGATACTTGGTTTTCAAACAAAACAAAACAGACTTGGGCAGGAGGCTTTATTTCTGGCAGGCGTTTTCATGCGAAGACCAGCAGAGGGGAACTGAGTCGCCTGGTCCTTCTGCCCTACAGAGCCATCAGTGCCTGCACAAAGCGAATTCTGGCTTCTTAGTGAGAGGCTGCTCATGGCCCTGAACACAGGTCCCAGAAGGTGGCTACCTACACCCTGGAAGTGGAGGGTTTTGTTTCCATGACAACCTCCAGCCACAGCAGGTCGGGAGGTGGGTGTCACACCTGTGCATCATTCTCCCAGCACCAGTTTGGTTCCCTGCTAGGAAACCTGAGGCAAAGACTAAATCTGGCTGCCTGACTTGACTCCCAGGGTCAGGAAAAGCGAGAACCCAGCAGTCTCATCTGTGCCCATGGGGGTCTCAGACTCACAGGAAACACCAAGCAGTTCCTAGCTCCTTAGGTGGCAGAACCCAGCTGCACTGCCTTAAACATCTGTCTGAACTGTATCAAAGCAAAGCGACATGTACACTGAGGTACAATGCTGCTCTTATTGCTGTAGACATCATATTTCCAAGACTTAACTAGTTCTTCCTGTTGCCTAGGGAGCACTGCGGAGAGAGCCTGGAGATAGGATGCTGTCTTGAGGACTGAGGGTGGGGTGAGGGGGTCAGAGAGTTTTGTGGACTTTGTCCAGACTGGGACATGGCAAAGGCCCCGGTCGCAAATGGGACCCAGCAGGAAAGTGGCTGCAGTGAGCTCCAGGTGATGAGTAGTCAGACCAGTGACCAAAGGCCAGGTCAGGCACCTTCCCTAGAGTCTGGGCCCACACTCAGGGTCTCTACAAATCCGGAGGAGAACTCCCAACTATAATTGACATTGTTTCAGCTAGCCAGGAGGGAGAATTCTGCATGCAGAACTAACCTCCTTGCTGTCTAGACAGAGGGCATTGCTTGATTCTGAACCTCCACCAGGGTGTTTGTGCATTGGTTTTCTGGGGCTGCCATAACAAAGAATGCAGGCTGGGCGGGTTCAGCAGCCAGAACCTTCAGTTGCAGTCTTCGAAGGTGTTCATCCTCCCACAGTCGTCCCTCTGTGTGTGTATGTGCCCTGCGCTTGCTTTATGAAGACACAGCATGAGGACAATAGCCTCCTTTTACTTCAATTGCTGTTTAAAGACTCTAAGCTGTTGCACTGAAGGTTAGGATTTCAGTGTAGAACAGACAGGGGTACAATTCCGTCCACCCAGACTGATCCAAATGCAAATATAAAAAAAAAGACTGCTGAGGAAGGAGACCATACTTCCAGAAGAAGTGACCCTAGAGAAGCAAATGTTACTAGAACAGGAAGTGGAGAATTTGCCTCCTTCCGGTGTGGACTTCTGGTACTTTCTCTACCCGCCCTGCAGAGCCAAGGTCCCAGTCCAGTTTGTCCCATTGCCCACCCCTCTCCCACCTCCGCTCTGAGCAGCTGGGGAAAGTTCTGTAGTCCTTGCTTTCTCCAGAAGAAAACCCAGGGCATCTGCAGAAGCCTGCAAGGATTTTCCTCCAGGAAAGTACTCAAGCATTGTGATAAGCAGTTTCATTTGTGCCGTTTGACTCTGTAGCTCAGGCTTCCAAGTGCTGGGGTTACATGTGTGAGCCACCTCACCTGGGTACAATCAAGAAGTTCCTTATTAGAACATATGGTGCCCAAGCCTAGCCCCATAGTGGGGTTTGTGGGAGGGGACAGAACAAAGGAAGCTGAATGGTGGCCAAGATTGTCATAACTGTCCCGTGTTCCCCACAAGGCTGACTCCGTGTCTTCAGGCTTTGGGTGGGGTCTACCATAGATGGAGGTTGTGAGTTGTATGTGATTCTGCTGGGCTGCCGTGGGCAGTAGCTGCTTTCTCCTGGAAGGCAGCCCTGTGTGCCACAGCACTGTCTGGATTCCTCCCCCCAGGACTCTCCCTCATCTCTGGTTGGGCACCTATAGCCTGCCCACATCTTTATGAATAGACTTTCATTAATCTCTGTAATAACTCATTTCAGTGTGCCAGCTGTTTCCTCTCAGGGCCCTGAGCTTCCCTGTGTGCTGGGCCTGGTTACAGTATAAATATGTGTCTCGTCTTTAGAAAACAGCTTTGGTGAAATACAGTTTCCATACCATGTCATTCTAACTCACCCATTGAAGGATTATAACCAGGCTGGAGATCCAGCTCAGTG